TTAGAAAAGACCTAGTATTTGCAATGAAAATTTAGTTCCCAGAACCAATTTTATTAGTGAAAATAGGCACAACAAAAAAATATGTTGTGGGAACTAATACAAATTTGTTTTTACAGTTTGTTGTCGGAACAGCCAATATTGGTAGCTCCAACCAACAAGTTTAAGTGCATCGAAATTAGTTTTTTTTTCATACAAATAATTGATATTTATTGCAATCACATTAGTCTGTCATTTTAGCAGCGTCTAAGTTGTAAAAACTGCACTTGCTATTTATCGCAACAAACATTGTATCATGCAGGAATTTATTTTTTAATTGAAATTACATGAAAAAAAGTACATTTAAAGAATTTAATAGTTGATATAATATAAATTTGTTTTGTACTGTAACTAAGTTATATTTAATATTAAATGCTTGCATTAGTAGCAACAACAAATTGGTATTATTCCACAGTACATACCTGCTTAGTAAATATAACACTGTTTGTGTAAATATTATAAAAAATAGAGAAAGAAAATTCATGCCCGTTCGTTTTATAAATATTTATTATAAATTAAAAAATAACAATATAACTGAAAACACCGAATTTTGGTTTAAACATTATAACAAAAATTAATAATTACTCTATGAAAACATTTATAAATATTTTAACAATAAAACAAAAATGATTTTTTGGTAAATATACACAGATAGATACATTAAGATGAAAGTTGACTATACTTCTTCAGTAAACCGTGATGTTTACGTGAAGTGCAAGCCTTTGTTTAACAACTTAACAATGATTCTTAGGTACAACGTAACATACTTGCATGATAACGATAAATTTTGTGTGTGAGTGCCTATAGTTTAGGCCCTATACCAAAAATGCGACTTGAGCTGTAACAAAACAAAACAAAAAAATTCTCGAAATTCCGACGTGATGGAGACTTTTGGTGGGCACCATTGGATTCAGGAGGCCATTTTCAGTCGGACCCCAAAACTACAATAGTGTAATTAAAGGAGTGCAATAATAATACCTAACCTTTAAAAACTGGAACCAATTCAGGTAAACCCCAAGTTCCTAATAAATCTGCTACTTCAGTCCGCTCATCCATATTATTTGTTCGAGATATCTATAAGTAACCAACACATAAGAATATATTCTTATATGAATAGTTAAAAAGTATGTCGCCACTGAATTTACAGGGGCAAATGATTAATTGTAATAAACTAGTTTCTTACCTAAAATATACACTACACACGAGCTGATACACAAATACAAAAGAACAAACACCACCGAAGTCTGGACGCCGTGCAACACCGTTTGTTTACAGGTTAAAAGTAAAGCACGCGCCGGGCTGGACAAATCGCGCGCGAAATGCACAAAGTTTGCATTTGCATTAACCTACAGAGACAACATCCCCAACTGACACTTTGTTTCACACCGCTGGTGTCTTAGCTGTGTGAAAGGTGACGCATAGTTTATACAACCGAACCGTTAGTTCCACGGACTAATTTCAGTCAGTTGAGAATGTTACTTAAATATTTGGTCCAACAAAAACATTTTACCGCCGAAATGATTTTTTTGAGATAATGTTGTCAATAATTCTAGCCAACACAAAGTTTCAGTTAAAATAACTTAATCGCCTTTTTGCAGTAAATAATACTCAACAACAAAACTAAATCTTTTCAGGTAATGATGCAAGCAGTTACACATATAAAGGTACTGATTACAAAAAACAAAAAATTTTATTTTCTGCAACAGTTTTACCCCAACGATAATAAGTTAGTTACAAATACCAGGTCTTTTCTAAGAGTGTACTCTGAAGTATTTTTTTATTTTTGTTTAAAAAATATTGTAGCTTCAATGTAAACAATACTTTTACTGAAAATAGTTTGCATTTAATTTGATTTACTTGCTTTAAGTAGTAGGTCGTTCCCTGGGTAAAATTTATTTTAAACAAAATTTAATTAATTTTTAATACAAAAGATGGAAGATAATTTCACTAATGTTGCTTTAGTATTTACACTTGATATGGGTGATTCTACAAAAGTTGTACAACTTCATGTCATCACTCAATAGAGTAGGTATTTAAATATTTTTTGTAAATATTTTAGTATATTACACTTGTTCACCCAATTTTAAGGTATTTTTTCAAAAGCACGTTTGTAAAAAAACATAATAAATATTTAAAACATCAGTACCTTGGCGTGTCACAACTCCTGAATCAAATATTTGAGTGGTTTTATTTTAAAATGTATTCAATTTATCTTAAATTTTTCAATTTTACTACAAACTATAAAACATTAAATAATCTATTTTTCATATTTTATCTTAGATTCGAATAATAGCAATTTTTAAAAAATTGATAATCTTTTTACTCACTTTTACCCGTCAGTTCTGTGTCCAATGTTAAAATTCAAAATCCCTGCGAAATATTGTTTAAACGTCAAGTCAAAAATTACCTACAGAGCCCGCCCTTTGCACGACAGTCATCTTGAAAACAATGCAAGCGGCGAAGTTGTGGTGAATGCACGTATTATATATATTTTATTGTAATTTATATAAGGCTATATGTGATTTGTTGATAAGTAGCATCCACTAATAAAAAATATAAATAAAAAATAAAATATAATCTCAAATTTGTATCCCATTCATCAGTACCGTGTCGTCAGTTCCATGTTCGATGTTTCGGTTATCTTTTTTTCGCAAACTTCAATTTAAATTCTGCTTGCGCCAGAACTTGTTTATTTAATGTCATTATAAACTCATATAAATTTGGTGTGGGTCCCATATCTAATAATTGAGATATCGGTATACCCAAAACAACCAGCCGCCACTGATGTGTGGTATTATTTGATTTTAAGATATTTAATGTATAATATGCTCAAAGTTGCAATAAATCTTATTTTCCAATAAATTATGTATTTAATTAGTACCCTGGTATACTCGTCACTTCAAATTTATAAAACACAAATATTTCAGAAACTGTTTGAAAAAGTGACTGGCCCGGTCTGAAACAGTATATTTATTATATTATCTTTGTTCTCATAACAAAATACTGTTTAATTTTCTTCGAAAACAACAAAATGAGGTCAAAAGTTGCCCAACTTTTGTAAAATTACCCATATGTGAAATAAGGTAGGTATGTACAAAAAAACATTCATATAAATACATTCATTTATATTTTTTAGCAAAACTAACAAAGTGGTAACTCTATTGAGGCAGTAGGTACTGCATTACATTTTCGATTCGAAATAAGCGTTCTAGCGTTGAGTAAAAATTAGCAGAAAATGGCCCCAAACCGTTTGCAACAAGACTTCAGATCGAAACGCGCAGTTGCTTAATCCCTCACAAATTTGATGTCAGAACAAACCTATTATAATATATAACGGTTTGTTTTTACCCAACATACCCAAATAGCTACCCATGCCTAATACTTTTTCTTACTACCTCGGCCGAAAATACGTTGTTTCGTCTCCAATTCCACGGCAGAAAGTTTACGTTTGATGCATTGGAATCGAGGACGAAACAACGTATTTTCGAGTATATTACACTACAAGGGCAGAAAGTGTGAAAGCCCTGAACTGCGCGCCATGATGTGCAGTGCAGGAATCTCATACTTTCTGCCCTTGTAGTGTAATATACTATTTTGCATTTTTCTCGGTATTTTCCTTGTTTATTGCCTTAAAGATGAATTGTTTTTTGTTCATTAAACTGGTACTTGTCTCAAAGTAATATAATGTTATAATAATTATACAAGTATAATTTAGTGGTATTGCAATATTTATTAAATATATTTAATTGTAATCTTATTTGAGTTTTTAATTGAAAAATTGTATGGATTTCAAAAGAGAAAACATTTTCCCTTAATTTAAGAACAATCCATTATTTAATAAAATATATTGTTTATTCTTTGTTTAAATAAAAAAATGCTTAAATTGAATATTAAAAGTGTTGAAAATTAACATTAAGCAAATACTTTAATGAATGATAAAGTATTGTTTTACTAAGTAAATTATTATTGTGTCAAATATAAAATTATAAGTATAGAACAATTTTTTGATTTAGAAATGTATTTTTTTCTGTGTACTTAGTATCCTCAAAAAATCAATGCATGGGCTGGTATTCTTGGCAACAATATAACTGGACAATTATATTTTGATCTTCTTGAAAATGTTATGGAGCCACTTATTGCCAACTCATTAAAAAATCAGAAGGACGAACAAGGAGACATGTTGCTTGATGAAGGACATTTGTACTTTCAACAAAATGGAACTCCTCCTTAATATGATTTACCAGTCAGAGAATGGTTGAACCAAAGGTTTCCCGAGAAATGGATTGGTAGAAGAGGTGCTCAAAGATGGCCGGCAAGATTTCCAGATTTAACGCCACTTGATTTTTTTCTTTAGGTTCATTTAAGAACACAAGTCTACAAAACATCACCTGAGAACAATCAAGAATTCAGACGAAGCATAGTTTAAGAATGTAGGTAGATAACTCCTAAAACGTTTCAAAAAGTTCGTCAAGAGTTTTAGAACAGATTGTATTATTGTTTATCAAATAACGGAGCACATTTTAAACATTTAATATAATTTTTTATGGAAATCTTTGTTTTATTTATATCACCTATTTTGGCTCTCAATAATGGAGTTTATTTTAGCTCTGGGCAAAATAGAAGAAACTATAACTTGAGCAAAGCAAAGGAAGAACATACATATGTATATGTAGGAATAGGTATTAAAATAAGGCAAACTAGTGGAATGTACAAATTTCATTTGTATTTTTGTCGCGTAATGTTAAAATAGAGAATCCTATAAATAAAATCTAAAATAAATATTCAAATATATACAAAAAAATCACACGTTTTAAACATATTAATAGGCGTAGCTTTTAAGACTTTTAATCGAGCAAGTGAAATGCTTATAACTACAACAGAGAGCGTTTGTAACACGAAAAGTTAATGAAACGATTAATAATAATACTGATATTTGGAAGGTTGAGATCACAATAAGGGTAAGTTCAGTTGAAGCAATCCAGTGTTACGAGGGAACAGCCGTGACACTTTTCGTCACTTGACCGGCACATGAGACCTTCTCCGCATTCACCTAGTGCGTTCATAAGCCCTCCGCATCTCTCTCCTGGACCCTGAAACAAGACAAAATTTCCATTAGAAAAAATATTGGATTTTTTCTTCAGTGATAAAATCATTTTGCTTTGACATTCATTTTTGCTTCCTAACCTGTTTTTTATGCTCTACTCTACTACTCTACATTATTGTATATATATATTTAATTATAGATTGTCGATAAATACATTGTTCAAAATTTCATGACCATTTCAACACCAAATTAACACCATACATGGTCTATATCGATACGAACCAAAATGGTGTTAAATATGGTTCGTTGGTCCAGGATAAATTCAAATACTAAAATAGTGTCAATTTAACTTTCACACAGTATTAAAATAAATTTTACCTGGTGTAAGAACTCCTTTTCAGTGTTAAATATTATGTGTTTTTCGTCAAATTAAATCATACTACACAGAAAAAAAAGAAAAAAGGAAACAGGAAGTTCCTTGACGCATTAACTTGCTAGAGATAATGTTTTTAGTGCGTTCCACAAACTTAAAATACTTCAAGTATTGACAGCTGTTTCCACCTATTTAAGGTCTCTATGGTATCGAACAACTTGTAGTGTCACACCAAAGCAAAAGACTACCTGAGCTTATATACTCTTCATGTAAGTCAACAGAGGCGAGATTTAAGAACATGTGAACACGTGATCCACATCGCCTTTACCGCGATCGGTACATACTATGCAACCATGAATGCACGGCAAATTGTTTTAATCGTTTTAACAGAGTGCTTTAGGTTGAAGTAACTCTTATTTTACAAACAACATATTTAGTAAACTGATCCATACAGTGTAAAGTGTTCTGGATTAATTTAACCAATTTAAAAAAATAAAATAACTATCTGGTTTAGTACCGTCAAACTAATCTTTGTTTATATTAACCTTCCCACAGTTGATTTAAATAAATACTTATGGGTCAACTAAATTAATAAAGTTAAATTAACTATTCCTTTTTTCTGTGTAGGTGCACTTCTCAAATATTTTTAGATAAACACCGTTTTGGTGTTTGCTGTATATAACATTTTCAACCATAATTCATGGTGTTTATAAACTGCTCACAAATTGAAGTGGAATTTTTTAAAATAGGGTTGTGTTAAAATCGCTGTAAAATTTTCAAAAAGCATCCGATTTTGAAACAGCTTTTACTTATTTAAAGAAAAGTGTTCCTATTTTCATAAACTGATAAAATCATTTAAGTCATAACATATATATGTCTAATATAGGGTGATTAAAAAATTCCTACAATTTTGTTCTTTTTAACTCTAGTGCAGGAGTTTTTTTAATCACCCTGTACACTTACACTAAGTTGCATCTTACAACCTGTGGTATGTGTTACCAATATTTTTTTAGTTTTTTCCTTTTAATGACGTACTTACAAAAATATGATTTTTTTTATTAATGGCGTAATTTTTCATTTGCGTTTTTCTAATTTTTACCTAAGGGGCTTTAAAAACAGGCAGATATCAAGTACGTAGGTATACAAACTAATCCTTGTCAAGTTGACAGTTGCTTGTAAACAATAAAAAAGCATAATGCCGTTACAAAGATTAACTCCAGAGCAGTTTGATATTGTGGCAAATCTTTTACAAAATGGTACTAGGCAGAAAGAAATTGCAAATTTGCTCAATGTGTCACCGAGTGTTATTAATAGGGCAAGTCAACGGCTCCTGGCAACAGGTAGTGCCCGAATTACACATGGTGGAGGTCGCTCAAGAATAACTTCAGCAGCGGAAGATCGTCTTCTTGTTAGACGGGCAAGAGCCAATCCTACATTTTGCGCAAGAAAGCTTCGACATGCTACAGGACTTGAAGTTTCGACACAAACGATCCGAAACAGACTTCACGATAGGCAACTACGTGCCCGAAGACGTTTCAAATGCCCCATGTTGAACGTGGCTCATCGTGTAGCCCGAAGGACATGGGCTCGCGAGCATTCCGGATGGACAATTGAACAGTGGAGACGCTGTCTTTTTACAGATGAAAGCAGGATCAGTATGTATAAGTCAGATGGACGTATTCTCGTCTGGAGGGAGCCTGGAGCTCGTTGTCAAGAAAGAAACATGGCTCCGCAGGAACCTTTCAATGGCGGATCAGTGATGGTCTGGGGTGGTATTTCGCATGACAGTCGCACTGACCTTGTAGTGTTCATCAACTCTACGATGAACGGTGAACGGTATAGAGATCGGATTATCCAGCCTATCGTCGCACCATTCATTGAACAACATGGCAGAAATTATGTTTTTGTGGATGATAATGCTCGTCCCCATAGGGCTAGGATTGTGAATCAAGCGATATTGGATAACAACATCATACGAATGGCCTGGCCTGCAAGATCGCCTGATTGCAATCCAATAGAGCATGTTTGGTCTCATTTAAAAAAAAGATTACTCGATCGTAATGAGGATTTTTTAAATTTGGAGCAGCTTGCAAATGCTGTTGTAGAAGAATGGCAAGATATACCAGAACTTTTAATTAATAACCTAATAGATAGTATGCCTAGACGAGTTGCAGCAGTAATGAGAGCTCGAGGAGGGCCTACTAGGTACTAAACTGCCGACTTTATATTAAAAGTATAACTTACAATAAATATAAACTTATGTTGTTAAAATTTGTATTCATTAAACGCAAATGAAAAATTACGCCATTAATAAAAAAAATCATATTTTTGTACGTACGTCATTAAAAGGAAAAAACTAAAAAAATATTGGTAACACATACTACAGGTTGTAAGATGCAACTTAGTGTACAGGGGCGGATCTAGAATGTGTCATTGGGGGGGGGGGCGGAGTTGAAAATTTTTGTAAATAATAAGAAAGTTGAAATTAAAGTTATTCCATTTTTTTATTATTTTCTATATTAATTTAAAAAGTTATGTTCAATTTCAACTTGATAACTTACTTCCGGGGGGGGCGATCGCCCCCATCGCCCCCCCCTTGGATCCGCCAATGTTAGTGTAAGTGTACAGGGTGATTAAAAAAACTCCTGCACTAGAGTTAAAAAGAACAAAATTGTAGGACTTTTTTTATCACCCTATATTAGACATATATATGTTATGACTTAAATGATTTTATCAGTTTATGAAAATAGGAACACTTTTCTTTAAATAAGTAAAAGCTGTTTCAAAATCGGATGCTTTTTAAAAATTTTACAGCGATTTTAACACAACCCTATTTTAAAAAATTCCACTTCAATTTGTGAGCAGTTTATTTACACCACTTGGTGTTGGATTTAGACACCATTTTAAGATTACTTTTTACACCACTGCTATTTCAAACAGTGTAAAATTTGAAAAACCGGAACCAAAACAAGGCACTTTTCATTTCACCTAGGACTGCCCCATCGGGAGTAGCTACCCTAACCTCAAAATCTTCTATAGGTTATGTGATACCTTGTACGAAAGGTATTTTAATTCTCTTAACAATTCTGCAAAAAAAAAAAATGTTTCTCTTAATTTCATAAAAACTCTTTTTTTGGGGTTTATATGCTAGGTAATGTATCTGATTTTCCAGTCAACAAAATCAGTGGTCTACAGATTAGAAGAACGTATCGAAATTGTTTTTATTTCTGATTCAGAAAATCAAAGTGACTACAGAACTGTTGCGGGCTTAGAGTGAAACATCCAGATAAAAACTTCTGTCATACTTATGTTCAGAATATTGTGGATAAAGTCAGACAAACTGGATCGATTAAAAATAAAAAAAGAGATCAACCTCCTATAATGGTAGATAATGCTTAAATAGAGGTAAACATTTTTTAAAGTGTGGAAACCAATACAAATTTTAGGTACTAGGACAGTTTGCAATTTCCCCTTGTATGTCACTTTGGCAAGCATATGAAGGGGTCAATGCAAGAAGTAAGTCACACTTTCAATTAAATTGTTATTGTAGCTTCATCTAAGAGTTTTCACGTAAGTTGAAAACCAGGCAAACTCCCATTGAAGTTAGTGCAAACTAAGGCACTTGGGCACCTGAAACCTTACGTGAAACACTCTTAGATGAAGCCACAATGTAAATTTAATTGAAAATGTGACTTAGGCACTTCTTGCATTGACCCCTTCATATAGTGAAACAGGCCTTTCGAAAAATTCTGTTTGCTGAGTATTTAAAAACAAACATTTCCCCCTTATAAAATGAAGACTTTACATGCGTTAGGTGATGCCATCCAGATTGAAGAATCGAGTTTTTTGAAATTATGACGGCGAGAATAAATGAAGATCTTACACTCATTAAAAATATTTGTTTTAGCGAGGAATGCACGTTTTTCCTAAATGGAAAAGACAATAAGCAAAATTGTAGGTGCTGGGGTGATGAAAATCCTCACATTTTTCTAGAGAAGAATATTCATCAGCCTCAAAAATTAAATGTTTTGGGCGAGCATGTTGGGAAATAAAATTGTTGGTCCAATTTTTATTGAATGAAATCTTACTGGAGATAACTACTTACATTTACTAAAAGATACTATGGTTGTATTAATTAAACAAGAACTCGAAGATCAGATAGAGAGGGATGGAAACCTTATACTGAGTGAGGAGAACCTTTACTTCCAACAAGACGGGATACCAACGCATTATGCATTGCCAGTCAGAAATTGACTCCTGGCAAAGAATTGGCCGAAGAGGATCGTTAGAGTGACCCCAAGATCACCAGATTCAACCCCCTTGGACTTTTATTTATGGAGATACATTAATTAGTTTATTAGACTCCACCTAAGTCGCTACAAGATCTACGACATCGAATAGTTGAAGCATGCCGGAACATCACACAGGAACTTTTGAAAAAGTACAACAAGAATTTGATAACCGTCTTTACTATTGTCTTCAAAATAACGGAGAACATTTTGAACATTTAATTAATTAATATGTAAAATATTTTACATTACAATGACTATTAATTATTGCAACCGTTTTATGAAAATAAATTTTTTTTGCAGAATCGTTAAAAGACCTTTCGAACAAGGTATCAACTAAAGTGCCATTGAAGATTTTGAGGTTAGGGTGGTTACCCCTGCTGGGGTAGATGAAGGTTAGTTGAAAAGTGCTTGGTTTTGGTTCCCCTTTCAAACCCACGAAACGGGTTATTAAAATTTTATTTATCGCTTATCCTTTTAAAGCTGACAGTTTTCGGTGGGTCACACTATGTTTCCATGAGGCTTAGGGACCCTTTAAATACACAATGGCAAGTTGTGATTTCAAGCGTGTTAGCCAACGGGTTTTGTCCTTAAAATAAAGTGCATTTCTTGTGAAAAATGTATTTTTTCTACTCCCACCTTTAAAACGCCCTGAAGTTAGACTGAAGTTAGCAACAGGTTTTTAGTCACGGGCTGAAGTTAGTTGACAGTTGTCAAATGTTATACAATCGTTAAAATAAAGTGCCTTTCTTGTAAAATAATACTAAATTATTATTATCTCAATACAAAAGTATTAAATAGTTTCTTAACGCCAATATTTGAAAAGTTTATATGAACATTGTAAGGACCTTTTAATTTCGCCGGCAGTAAACTACAACTTAAATTCGGGCACGGACTCTACTGTAAAGTCCTCATAAAACATTTTCTTTACTGTTACTGTGAAAAACTGTTAATTTTCAAGAAATACATTTCGATTTATAACCTTTATAATTGTGTTTATAAAATAAAAAAATGTGACATTTGACGGTGACACACAGTTTCCCCTATTGTTTCATAGATGTCGCTCTATAAAAATTTTTGATTTAAATCATTTTAAGATAATAATAAGTATTTGTCGTAGATAAAGTATAGTACCTATGCACTGCAATATATCTACTATTATCTACTCCCACAGTCACAAGCTTTGACTTGATGGCGTTTTAGTCACGGGCTGAAGTTAGCAACAGTGGCTTTTGGGAATTTTAGTCACGGGCTGAAGTTAGCTTTATTATATATTGAAAAAAGTGAACTTAAATTCTCTTTTTCAGATGGAGTAATGTAACAAAAATATACCTTTGAACACACTCTTCTTCCACAAGGATCTCTACTTTCTCCCCAAGGACACAAATCAGGAGGATTTTCTTCGCATTCTTCTCTGTCGAGACATGGTGAACATGGTCTCATAACTGACAAACTCCTAAAAATAATAAAACAACATTATAGAACAAAAAATCGATTAACACTTTTATTAAGGAAGTATTAGCTATGCTCATAGGTAACAACAAAAGTCTTCCTACATTTACGTCAATCACAATTTAAATTACAATTATTTGTTATAACAAATCCATTATGGTGCTAGAGCAATAAAATGTAATGCTGTTTCCTTATTTTGCCAATAAAACTGCATTACGTAGGAACTTTTCTTAATATATTTATGTACACACAATAAATTAAGATTCAAAGATTAATTTGAAAATTGCATGGGACGGACATTTCGGTATTCAGCTCAAGGATATTTGAAAATACTTGTTTTATTCATACCGAAATCGCTTGGATCATTTGTGTTATAAATTAAACGGTATTTAATGCCAGTTAATTATATTTTAGTTTTGAATTGAATAAGTGTATGGTGATCTAACTTGTAATGACCATTATGTAAAACTTTGTTTTTTTGTTAATTTAAATGTTTTAATGAACAGTAAAACAATAACAAAAACGGAAAATGGAACAAAAAACATTTAGTATTTAAAGTTATCAAAAAAAAAACAATAAAATTCTAAATTTTGCATGACCAAGTTATTATAACTTATTTAAAAACATTAGTTTTTGATTTTTGAACATTCTCTTGTTAATTAGTGGATATGTGCATCAACAAAAATTATTACGAATCAAAAACAAAAAATTTTCAACTTCTGTAGAAGACGAATTACATAAATTCTTTAAAAGACCGAAAAAATAAATATAATTTTTATAATAAAAGTAGTCATTAAAAGAAAAGAAGAAAATAGAATACTTTTAATTTTTTCCCAATGGTTAATTATAGAACTTGCTCCTTCTTTAATTATATTACACGTTAAAATATGTTTTCTCTACTCCTACATTGACGAGCTGTGACTTCATGGTGTTTTAGTCACGGGCTGAAGTCTAACAGTGGCTTTTAAGCTTTTTAGCCACGGGCTGAAGTTTATATTATATTATCTAGAAAATGATTTAAATTAAAATTTAAAATAAAGTAACCATCCCAATAAACATTTTTGACGTAATTCCCCCTTATTATTTTAATTAAACTGAACAATTATTGATACTTAAAAACATTAAAATAACTTCAAAATATGATTTTGTTAGGAAAATATTTTATATTTTTTTATTACTATAATTGCAAAATATCACAAAGTATTAAAAATTCTTACACGGGAAATGTTAAAGGTACAAAAAGTGACGTTAGAATTGTGAAAGAACTGTGAAAGTCAAAATTTATCCCTTGAAAATGTTTAACGCTTATTCAGTTAAATCTAGTTAACTGCACTACTACTCTTGTATTTTTGTATTGAGATAATAAAATGATTTTCACATTTATTATTAAATAAGAAGGAAGGCACTTTATTTTAACGATTGTATGACATTTGACAACTGTCAACTAACTTAAAACTAACTCCAGCCCGTGACTAAAAACCTGTTGCTAACTTCAGCCCCTGATTAAAGCGCCATAAAGCCACAGCAGTGTATTAAAAAGGTCACTTAGTGTCATGGAAACATGTACGATAATTATTATAGGTGTTTTAAAGGTGGGAGTAAAAAAATATTTGTATGCTTAAATATCGAGGGTTGAGCCCCTTCAATTAAGAAACATCCTGTATACCAGGTCTTACCTTAGAGAAACGTTATGTATAATCATTATACTATAATGCATTATTTAACATACATAAATACATACATACATAAATTGTTCCTAGATATATTAGATGAACAACAACATTGTATATTTTGAAATATATCCAAAATAAACTTTCTAATGTTAAAACACTTATATTTTGTACTTGTATTTGAGTGATTAATGTTTAAAAAGTTGATATTAAAAACTAAAGGTCAAAAAACAAATCTAATTTTAAATTAAAAATAAGATATAATTACAATTATGTACTAGGTACTTTTATGTGTAGATATAAATTAAGAGAATTACATATTTTTAATAAATTAAAAAATAATAATATTTGAAAAATTGTATGTAACTTTTACGTCCAGGCAAGAATAAACTTTTGTATGTTACCTACATAAATAAATTGCAGTTTATGGCACATAAAAACTTAAAGTAATGGTAAAATAAGTATACTTACACTTCTTGGAACACACTAAGCGTAATTGCAATTGTAAAAATCACAGTGACTAGAGAAAAACGATGCATATCGTTGTAAACTGCGGGGCCTTTGTTCTCTTCGTGTTTTAAAAGGCGAGAAAAAGTTGTGCTGCAACAAAAATTAAACATTCTAATACTCTACCACAAGAAAAAATTAATTAATTATTCTAATGCTAATAGGTTTTCAATGACTTGTTTTGCAATTTGTACAAATAAGTTTATAACTGGAAAAGTACAATATTTAATTCACAAACAATTGTTCTACGATAGTTTTTAAGATACCTATAACGAGTTCTGTTTATAAGATGGTTAGCCTTATTTATTTATTCTGAAACTATGAAGGAATTTCAGTTCCAGATAAACAAGAAAACAATTATCACAATATGTTTGCAGAAGTAGAACAAAAGCATTTCAATTAATGTTCAAAATAATTATAGAAGTTGTAAATATCCACAACAAAAAATACCTTTTAAAAGGAGAACAAGAAACTGTTACCACAAAAAAATATAAAAATAATAATCATTATTAATTAGTGTTATAAAAACACTCATACGTATATCTAAGTTTAAATAAATATTTTGAACAGCATAATTGATAGAATAATCACCTTTCAGTGATGTAAGTGTCGAAGAATTTACAAATTTTTGTAACATGTGGAAAATATTTTGGATATCAGTTTAACATAATAACTTATAAAAAAAGTAAAATAACAACAAATGTTTGGCAGTAGCACTAGTTAAATTAGTTAATTCGTGATTACAAGCCTATAAAAATAAAAATTGAAAAAACTAAAAACGTTTCAAAACCAAAAATAACGATAAATAATTTTGAAAAAAAGTAGGTTACAGTAGGAAAAAATGATATCTACAGAAAACCAAGCTGGCATTTTAGTGTGTTAGATAATTTTCTATAAAAAGTGGCAAATTTCAAAAAAGAACAAAATTTTAAATTACTAATTAAACTTAGACAGGTAATTAATATTATCGAAGAAAATGTGCCAAATATTAATATTTTTAAATATGTTATGTTATGAATGAAAAACATCAACAAAATGTGCTGTATGTTCCATGACCTAATAATGTTCTTAATATCATTATTTTCGGCTTATAACTCAAATGGTTAATACGGTCAAATGAGTGAAGTTATTGATTAAATTTTATTAATTTAAAATATTTATTATTTAATTTTCATTGATATTACGAAATTAATCTGAATTTAGTCAAGCGGTTTTAAATAATATACAATTTATTGGATTAAGTTCATTTGCCTATCAGGCAGGACTGTATTAAAGGGATATTTAAAAAATAATAAATACTTAAAAAATACCCCAATAAGTTTTGAAGAATATTTACAAGAAAAGCATATTTTAAAATCATAAATTTTTTTTAAATGTAGGATAATGAAAATATTTTGCAATTTAAATTATTGATTATTGATTCAAAAATATATTATTTGTACTATAGTATATACTATATATGTTCTCGGTCCAAAATGGGCATAATTTTGGGGTCAATAATCAACAAACATATTAATACATAAGTAGGGAGGTATATTATATTATTTTAAATCGAAACATTACAAAATTCAATGATAGTGGAAATTTTTTAAATCTTGTCAAAGTTTTTTATAACTCTTAAATAAAACCACAGTATATATTTTATGGAATAGAATACTGAACTTCCTCAAATTATATTAAATGGGCTAAGCCATATTTTGTAAAAAAAAAATTGTGGTTGCATCTCTGTAAACCTCTTAAAAACATATTAGGTACCTGTTTTTAACATTGTATATTAACTGTTTTTGCTTTTAACAGCTGTTCGGCCAAAATATTGTTTTAAAAGGTACAGGTAAAGTTTGAATTTACCTGTCTATGAGAACTTTGCTGACAGCTGGTGCACAAAGAGTTTCCTAAATTTAAAAACACAGCCCCAAACTTCCAAACATCACAAACAACAAAACTCGTGTAGCACATCTAACTAATTTGTCACTAATAAACTAATTAAACTAACTTTCCCATGTAGACTTCCAAAAGCAATAAGCCAAGGGGAAACGGTTAAAAGACGCCAACTACTTGATTATTATCATCATTACATTTCAGCTCACTCGATGTGGATACTACACTAGTGAGTCTAGGTATCACCAAAGACTGAGTTAATTTCATTTTTAATACGCTTTATCTCTTCTGTTTCCCCACTACTTGCCTCGCTTTTATCACTTCTTTTATGGGTTTTTTAGAACCAAAAATCGCCGTTGGTCCAAGTATAAGAACGGCCTACCGTTTCAAAACCTACAAAATGTTTCATTGGCCGCAATGGAGGCCTCTAAACATGCTTATTGTGAATGGTTTGTTTTAAGGTTTTTCAGACTTTGGTTGGTTTTTATTTTGAAATAAAAATGGAGGATTTCAGATAACTTTGTATTATGTATTAAACAGGCAGATAGATAAAATAGTAAAAAATATATAAACTCAGTAAAAAAAATTTAAACACACATACAATATATTAAAAATATTAAAATCTCTAGAGCAGTAGTTTTTTACATTCTTAGTAGTTTATTTTGGGTTAGGGATACTTTAGGACAAAAAATAAATACTTAAATAAAGCTTACCTTACATAGTTAGCTCAACTTAACTGCATTGAAATTATTGAATAATATTTTTTGAATATTGACACGTGTTCATTCTAAACCTTGTTGATAACATAATAAAACTAAATCAGTGTTCTCCTAAGAAACCTTTTAAAATTAAGTAGAGGTATATTTTTCCCATACAGTTTTTTTGGTAATTTTTTACCTGTGTAAATTTTAAGCTACATAGGTCAGTATTGCCTGCAATGTGCAAAATTGATCTAATTTAATAACTATAATAAATCTCAAAATACATTAAATATTTATGAATGAATTAAATTGAATTCTTTTTTTTAATAATATGATTACATATATTATATATAATAAGTAATAAACAATTATTTTTAGAGAGTTATCAAAATTTTTATGTTGAATCCGCATTATTTAATAAATATCTAAACACGCAACTTTAGTGTGTTAATTTTAATAAATAATAAAGATAAAAAATATTACGTGTTGTTTATTAATTAAAATTCATTTCATCATATTTTTAATATTTTGTCTAACGAAAAAGCCCATGTATTTTGTTAAAAATAGAACATTTGACATTTGATAGTTTAACTCATTATTTTATTCAATGTTCATAAACAAACATTGTATTAAAATATCTGGGTCTAGGGGCAGTGTCCCGATACCAGTCGCTTTATTTTTATTTGAGATACGACACAATTAATGCTCATTTAAAACTAAAATTTAAAAAAAATATATTGTGGGGAGATAAAAATATACTATAATTTAGATAGATAAAATATTATTAATTATTGATAATTAATCATAGTTTATTTTCGACGAAAATTGTATAAATTTCTTATAAGCCGCCTAAAGTTTATTTACTTCAAAATCGATTACTCAAGTTTATGTAAATAACAAATCTGTATTATTATGCACTTTGGCCAAAAATGAACTTTATTACTACCATTTAATTTGTGACTTTAAATGTTACAATGCACCCAAGTAAAAAAACGTTTTTTAATAATTGTTTTTAACCAATTAGTTGTAAATTTTTTAAATTTCACTATGAACTTAAGCTAAATTTAAAGGTTATTTTTTAGTATAATTTAACTAATAAAATAAACTTAAATTGACTAAAAATAAACCAAATATTTAATAAGTTAGTAATATTACTTATAATTTAAAAAGAAGTTTATTATAGAAGTTACCTACTTTTATATTAAATTCTAATTTTAACCTTTGAAAATGGTTAAGACTAGTTTTCTTAGAGGTTGGTTTAGTTTAACGTTTGATTTTTGGTGAATTAACCGCAGCTTTGGTTAATTTGGTTATATTTTTTTAACCAACAAGTTATATTTTACCAAATATATTTTAACTCGCTGGTAAATTAACCGGTTAAAAAAGTGATGGTTTTGCAGTTTTCATTGTTACTGCATAGAAAAATTAGTCTCAATAAAGCTTTAAACCTATAGGTTGTGAGTTTTGTGTGATAATGGAGCCTAAAATAAATAATTTTAAAAAATATAGACTTTCTTCAACTTCTAGTTAACAAAGTTGTAAATCATTATTTATCTACAAACAGGCCCCTCACATTTAATTAATTTGGTGAGCATCTATAGGTTTTATCACAGAACAGATGCATTTTATAAAAATAAAGCAGGGATGCAATAATTGCATAATAATAATAATTATTAAAATTCGAACGTAAAATCGGCGGGAATTCGTATTAGGTTACTCTCTAAAAATGAATTAGTCAAAAATGACTAATTTCATAGTTATTAGTGGCTGCTTTTTCACTTGTACCATGGAATACCATTGTATACCAAAATTTAACAGCCAATTCTTATGTAAAATTCTCCCCTGAATCCGAAAATACCGTCAAAAATTATGAAAGTTGAGCAATTTTTGAGATATAGTCAATTACATATTAATTGGAAAATTGACTATAGTCAAAATTAAAAATTAAACAGTGGATTTTCACTGATTGACAGTGCATATTAACTATTTGCCGCAGTGATAAGTATACCACTAGCAATTAGTGAATACTCACTTTTTCATGTAGCGATTTCTTTGCACTAATTTATTTAGTGGAAATTACACTACAAATTAGTGAAATAGGTTTAGTTCAAAAAAGTTAAAATTTCACTATTTTATGTCGAGAGTTCCGGAAAAGTAGTGATAATAAAAAACACTAATTTGGAGAAGTTAAAATTTCACTAATTTATATTGAAAAACACTAATTTTACAGTAAATAATAACTCACTGACGGAAATAGTGAAAATTTCACTGTTTCACTTTTAGAGAGTATATCTCAAAAACTGTTCTACTTTTTTAACTTTTGATGGTATTTTCGGATTAAGGGGACAATTTTAAATAAGAATTGGATGTTAAATTTTGTGATACCATGTTATTCCATGGTTAACCATGGTACAAGTGAAAAAGCAGCCACTTATAACTATTAAATTAGTCTT